ATGTGGGAGCATTAATTACCATGCATGCCAAGACTTGACTACCTCTGTGTTAAGCGTGTGATAGTGAAGTGATGGCTTATTGTAAATTAAAAACAAAACAAAATACAATCTACAACTCAGAATTATCCAAGTATGATGACAGATTACCTTTTTAAAAAAGAGATGCTAAGTATTAACTTTTTGGACTGAAAGTCCCAATTGGCTTCATTTAGTTCCTCTCTCCTTTAAGCGAGGTAATTGGTGAATTACACAAATCAATAGAACCCATTAGTAAGCAATCAAATAAGAAGAAAAACAGAACCAAATAAAACAGATTGAATAATTGAATATTCCTTAAAGAAATAACTAATAGATCTCAGGCTTGACGGTCCGAGAACAAAAGTGAAAAGGGCAACCTTTTCTCTTTTGACCCAGTACTGAGGTAAAAAATGAGACGAAACAGTTTAACATATATCTCCTTGAGTCCTTGGCTTGACTATAAATCATACCTTCCACCCGCTAACCAGTGACATATTAAGCACAACAGTTAAAAACTAGCCATTGTTAACCTGAAAATGCTAATGGATGCAAATTATCCCTTTTTGTGACTCAAGTTATTTCCACGCAAAAGTGGCTGAATGATAAGCAGAACCCTTAACAAAGGGTCTGAATTCCGAGATATGTAAATTTCAGAGATTTCACCAGAAAGCTAGAGAGGTAGTACTTCTAAAATACAAGTTAAATAATAAGCTACAACACAGAAACATAGCTCCACTATCGATTACCATACAAAGTTCTTGAAATGAAGTAATCCTTAAAAATTCACATAATTAAATCCGTAATCTGTCATAAATTTGAGAGAAGTACTGAAAACTAAAACCCTAATATTTGCCCTAACACCAGGTATTGAATTCCAAAGGGGAAAACAAAAAACATCTTCTTCTTCTTCTTCTTTTCGTGTGTGTGTGTGTGCAAAGTATCAAATTAGAAATAGCCAATGAAAGATTTATATTCGGATGGTGAAAATACTAAAAGGAACGTTGTGGACTCTTGGGCCATACCACGTTAGTGGCTTTTGTATAAAATTGGGCCTTGACGGGTTCAATCATCAAATCAGAACCGTCCTAAATTAGAAAAAGGCTTGTAATATGGTGGGCTTCATAACTGTTCATCAGGCCCAAACTAGGAGTCCCGATAGTTTAGTATAGAAACCTGTTTGTTTGATTTTTTTTTTTTTTTTTAGTATAATACAAACTACAAAATCAACACGAGTCAAGAGTAAACGTTACATATTTGAGTCATTCAACCATTTGAATAAAACACAAATATAAAGAAAACCTAAACTTGCATACGTAAGAGTCTGAACCCAAAATTTCGGGAGCTTGAACATCTTAAATCCGTAAACTTGTATGCATGAAACTCGAATCCAAAATTATAAGGGCTTTAGCCTCTAAAATTCTTTTGAGACTATTTTTTTTGCACAACATATTTTAATTTGGTTGGACGAAATACTCAATTCTAGGGTGAAATCACTATAATAAGATAAATTGAAGAGACATGAAACATCATGCTTCTTTCTAAAGCACATGTAGAGAACGTGTACTACCAACCAGTACAATTTTGTCCACCTAGTCTCTAAAAGTTGAACATTTACATTTGAAACCCACCATGTATGGCCTTTTTCCAGGACATGATGGATGATAGATAACCGAACAGAGGACAACCAAGTGGGAGTTGTGTAAGTTGTGTAAGCGTTCCAATATCTCAGAAAATTGCAGTGGAGTCATCTCATGACCAATCAATCAGTTAATTAAAATCTATTTTCCCCAACCTTTCCACCCCTCACCCTGTCGGTCCAAGTTGGCATTCTTGATTGCTGAAACGAAGGGCTTTTTGCTTACTTTAGTCCATCCTTTAAGGCATGTTTATCAAACCAACAGGACCAGACGCCAATGTTGAGTCTGAATGTAAGGAGTGTATTCAATGAGAAAATTTTACATTAAAAGTATAAAAAATATATAATTTATAGTTAAAGAAAGTTATTTTATTTATTATTAATTAATTTTAATTTTACTAATATTTGGTGAATTTAAACAGTTTTTAATTTTAAAATAATTATTTTATTTATTATTTATTGATTTTTGTTGAAATATTTTATTTTTTTAAATGAATTACAATTTTAAAAGAAAGAGAATTCAAATGAGACATATAATAATCAAGTTACGGAACTCAAATACAAAATATTTCTTTTTTTTTTTTTAAACAAGTTGTCAAGGGACGGACTCGAAACCCGTTTATAAAGGAGGGAAAATGCACCTCAAACTGGCAGATTACCAGTTAACCCGAAGGGTTAGGTATACAAAATATTTCATCTTGTGCTTCAATGCACATCTAATTTTCATATTGCTTATCTCTCACCTTCCTTAAGACACAAAGATTAGAGTTCTGAACTAACTTGTTCGGCTTAACAATAGCCTAACCTATTATCCCAGATATTTCCATTTCCCCTTTTTTGGATGCACATGCGAACAGGAACGGATTTGATAACCCAATAAACCGAAACCAAAGAAAAGCAGTGGCATAAGTAGTGCATAAGTAGGTATCTTTCTCTCGAGAAAAAGTCGGATATCATTGCAACATATAATCCAAAATCAAAGGAATATTTTCTCAAACCAGGAAATCAATCTTGGGCCATCAATTTTATTGCCCACACCCACCACAACATTTCAACATGCAGTGCTGTTTGTTAATTATTGCTGTTTTCTAAAATCAGGAAACTAAAGGAATATCAACAAAATTAAATATTTTAAGTGGTAAATAATTATTATTATTAACAATTAAATATAAACTATTACTATTAGTTATTAGTTATATTTGAATTATTAATTCAAATACTTTTTAAACCTTGGGTAATTAAACGCTCAACTTTTGGAAGAATAATAATACACTGCAATATCTTTCAAATAATAATAATTTTATACCTAAAGAGTAATGGTTAATTGGCAAGTGAGTTTATTTTTTATATT